CGTGTGTGTGTGTGATGGCCTGGCAAATCTACGGGGAAGAGCATGTGTGTGTGTGTGTGTGATGGCCTGGCAAATCTACGGGGAAGAGCATGTGTGTGTGTGTTGATGGCCTGGCAAATCTACGGGGAAGAGCATGTGTGTGTGTGTTGATGGCCTGGCAAATCTACGGGGAAGAGCATGTGTGTGTGTGTGTGTGTGATGGCCTGGCAAATCTACGGGGAAGAGCGCGCGCGTGTGTGTGTGATGGCCTGGCAAATCTATGGGGAAGAGCGCGCGCGTGTGTGTGTGATGGCCTGGCAAATCTAAGGGGAAGAGCATGTGTGTGTGTGTGTGTGATGGCCTGGCAAATCTACGGGGAAGAGCATGTGTGTGTGTGTTGATGGCCTGGCAAATCTACGGGGAAGAGCATGTGTGTGTGTGTGTGTGTGATGGCCTGGCAAATCTACGGGGAAGAGCGCACGCGTGTGTGTGTGATGGACTGGCAAATCTATGGGGAAGAGCGCGCGTGTGTGTGTGTGATGGCCTGGCAAATCTACGGGGAAGAGCATGTGTGTGTGTGTGTGTGATGGCCTGGCAAATCTACGGGGAAGAGCATGTGTGTGTGTGTTGATGGCCTGGCAAATCTACGGGGAAGAGCATGTGTGTGTGTGTGTGTGTGATGGCCTGGCAAATCTACGGGGAAGAGCACGCGCGTGTGTGTGTGATGGCCTGGCAAATCTATGGGGAAGAGCGCGCGCGTGTGTGTGTGATGGCCTGGCAAATCTATGGGGAAGAGCGCGCGCGTGTGTGTGTGATGGCCTGGCAAATCTACGGGGAAGAGCATGTGTGTGTGTGTGTGTGATGGCCTGGCAAATCTACGGGGAAGAGCATGTGTGTGTGTGTTGATGGCCTGGCAAATCTACGGGGAAGAGCATGTGTGTGTGTGTGTGTGTGTGATGGCCTGGCAAATCTACGGGGAAGAGCGCGCGCGTGTGTGTGTGATGGCCTGGCAAATCTATGGGGAAGAGCGCGCGCGTGTGTGTGTGATGGCCTGGCAAATCTAAGGGGAAGAGCATGTGTGTGTGTGTGTGTGATGGCCTGGCAAATCTACGGGGAAGAGCATGTGTGTGTGTGTTGATGGCCTGGCAAATCTACGGGGAAGAGCATGTGTGTGTGTGTGTGTGTGATGGCCTGGCAAATCTACGGGGAAGAGCGCACGCGTGTGTGTGTGATGGCCTGGCAAATCTATGGGGAAGAGCGCGCGTGTGTGTGTGTGATGGCCTGGCAAATCTACGGGGAAGAGCATGTGTGTGTGTGTGTGTGATGGCCTGGCAAATCTACGGGGAAGAGCATGTGTGTGTGTGTTGATGGCCTGGCAAATCTACGGGGAAGAGCATGTGTGTGTGTGTGTGTGTGATGGCCTGGCAAATCTACGGGGAAGAGCGCGCGCGTGTGTGTGTGATGGCCTGGCAAATCTATGGGGAAGAGCGCGCGCGTGTGTGTGTGATGGCCTGGCAAATCTATGGGGAAGAGCGCGCGCGTGTGTGTGTGATGGCCTGGCAAATCTACGGGGAAGAGCATGTGTGTGTGTGTGTGTGATGGCCTGGCAAATCTACGGGGAAGAGCATGTGTGTGTGTGTTGATGGCCTGGCAAATCTACGGGGAAGAGCATGTGTGTGTGTGTGTGTGTGATGGCCTGGCAAATCTACGGGGAAGAGCGCGCGCGTGTGTGTGATGGCCTGGCAAATCTACGGGGAAGAGCATGTGTGTGTGTGTGTGTGATGGCCTGGCAAATCTACGGGGAAGAGCATGTGTGTGTGTGTTGATGGCCTGGCAAATCTACGGGGAAGAGCATGTGTGTGTGTGTGTGTGTGATGGCCTGGCAAATCTACGGGGAAGAGCGCGCGCGTGTGTCTGTGATGGCCTGGCAAATCTATGGGGAAGAGCGCGCGCGTGTGTGTGTGATGGCCTGGCAAATCTACGGGGAAGAGCATGTGTGTGTGTGTGTGTGATGGCCTGGCAAATCTACGGGGAAGAGCATGTGTGTGTGTGTTGATGGCCTGGCAAATCTACGGGGAAGAGCATGTGTGTGTGTGTGTGTGTGATGGCCTGGCAAATCTACGGGGAAGAGCGCACGCGTGTGTGTGTGATGGCCTGGCAAATCTATGGGGAAGAGCGCGCGTGTGTGTGTGTGATGGCCTGGCAAATCTACGGGGAAGAGCATGTGTGTGTGTGTGTGTGATGGCCTGGCAAATCTACGGGGAAGAGCATGTGTGTGTGTGTTGATTGCCTGGCAAATCTACGGGGAAGAGCATGTGTGTGTGTGTGTGTGTGATGGCCTGGCAAATCTACAGGGAAGAGCGCGCGCGTGTGTGTGTGATGGCCTGGCAAATCTATGGGGAAGAGCGCGCGCGTGTGTGTGTGATGGCCTGGCAAATCTATGGGGAAGAGCGCGCGCGTGTGTGTGTGATGGCCTGGCAAATCTACGGGGAAGAGCATGTGTGTGTGTGTGTGTGATGGCCTGGCAAATCTACGGGGAAGAGCATGTGTGTGTGTGTTGATGGCCTGGCAAATCTACGGGGAAGAGCATGTGTGTGTGTGTGTGTGTGATGGCCTGGCAAATCTACGGGGAAGAGCGCGCGCGTGTGTGTGTGATGGCCTGGCAAATCTATGGGGAAGAGCGCGCGCGTGTGTGTGTGATGGCCTGGCAAATCTACGGGGAAGAGCATGTGTGTGTGTGTGTGTGTGATGGCCTGGCAAATCTACGGGGAAGAGCGCACGCGTGTGTGTGTGATGGCCTGGCAAATCTATGGGGAAGAGCGCGCGTGTGTGTGTGTGATGGCCTGGCAAATCTACGGGGAAGAGCATGTGTGTGTGTGTGTGTGATGGCCTGGCAAATCTACGGGGAAGAGCATGTGTGTGTGTGTTGATTGCCTGGCAAATCTACGGGGAAGAGCATGTGTGTGTGTGTGTGTGTGATGGCCTGGCAAATCTACGGGGAAGAGCGCGCGCGTGTGTGTGTGATGGCCTGGCAAATCTATGGGGAAGAGCGCGCGCGTGTGTGTGTGATGGCCTGGCAAATCTATGGGGAAGAGCGCGCGCGTGTGTGTGTGATGGCCTGGCAAATCTACGGGGAAGAGCATGTGTGTGTGTGTGTGTGATGGCCTGGCAAATCTACGGGGAAGAGCATGTGTGTGTGTGTTGATGGCCTGGCAAATCTACGGGGAAGAGCATGTGTGTGTGTGTGTGTGTGATGGCCTGGCAAATCTACGGGGAAGAGCGCGCGCGTGTGTGTGTGATGGCCTGGCAAATCTACGGGGAAGAGCGCGCGCGTGTGTGTGTGATGGCCTGGCAAATCTACGGGGAAGAGCGCGCGCGTGTGTGTGTGATGGCCTGGCAAATCTATGGGGAAGAGCGCGCGCGTGTGTGTGTGATGGCCTGGCAAATCTATGGGGAAGAGCGCGCGCGTGTGTGTGTGATGGCCTGGCAAATCTACGGGGAAGAGCATGTGTGTGTGTGTGTGTGATGGCCTGGCAAATCTACGGGGAAGAGCATGTGTGTGTGTGTGTGTGTGATGGCCTGGCAAATCTACGGGGAAGAGCGCGCGCGTGTGTGTGTGATGGCCTGGCAAATCTATGGGGAAGAGCGCGCGCGTGTGTGTGTGATGGCCTGGCAAATCTATGGGGAAGAGCGCGCGCGTGTGTGTGTGATGGCCTGGCAAATCTACGGGGAAGAGCATGTGTGTGTGTGTGTGTGATGGCCTGGCAAATCTACGGGGAAGAGCATGTGTGTGTGTGTTGATGGCCTGGCAAATCTACGGGGAAGAGCATGTGTGTGTGTGTGTGTGTGATGGCCTGGCAAATCTACGGGGAAGAGCGCGCGCGTGTGTGTGTGATGGCCTGGCAAATCTACGGGGAAGAGCGCGCGCGTGTGTGTGTGATGGCCTGGCAAATCTACGGGGAAGAGCGCGCGCGTGTGTGTGTGATGGCCTGGCAAATCTATGGGGAAGAGCGCGCGCGTGTGTGTGTGATGGCCTGGCAAATCTATGGGGAAGAGCGCGCGCGTGTGTGTGTGATGGCCTGGCAAATCTACGGGGAAGAGCATGTGTGTGTGTGTGTGTGATGGCCTGGCAAATCTACGGGGAAGAGCATGTGTGTGTGTGTGTGTGTGATGGCCTGGCAAATCTACGGGGAAGAGCGCGCGCGTGTGTGTGTGATGGCCTGGCAAATCTATGGGGAAGAGCGCGCGCGTGTGTGTGTGATGGCCTGGCAAATCTACGGGGAAGAGCATGTGTGTGTGTGTGTGTGATGGCCTGGCAAATCTACGGGGAAGAGCATGTGTGTGTGTGTGTGTGTGATGGCCTGGCAAATCTACGGGGAAGAGCGCGCGCGTGTGTGTGTGATGGCCTGGCAAATCTATGGGGAAGAGCGCGCGCGTGTGTGTGTGATGGCCTGGCAAATCTACGGGGAAGAGCATGTGTGTGTGTGTGTGTGATGGCCTGGCAAATCTACGGGGAAGAGCGTGTGTGTGTGTGTGTGTGTGTGTGTTCTGCTTCGGCTTTTCCCAGACGTGAGTGACCGAAGCTTTAAGGCACAAAGCCCATGCCTCTTTTTCCTCAGTAGCCGTCCGCGTTCAAGGGGCCGCGGGGAAGGCTGGTGGGACCGCTCGCACATGGACATCCCGTGTGCGTCCGTGCGCGTTTAATTCCGTTGCAGCCCCATTTTATAGCACCTTGAACATGTCATTCAAAGAACCGGAAAAGATGAGAAATGGGGCTGCGAGTTCTTCCTGCATTCGCGGGCAGAGCCTCAGCAGGATGCGCGCCGCCTTTTGCCGAGGGCTAGCAGTGCCCCAGGAGCCACATCCGGAAGCGGAAGACGCCCGGGCGTCTGCCGGCTGGAGCCTGCGGGTGGCTTCTCGGGGAGAGCGCGGGGAGAGCGCGGGGAGAGCGGGCTCCTGGGCAGTGACTCAAGTGGCCAGCAGGGGGCTGGCCTTCTCTGTCTATAAGTAGCCCCGGTGCCTCCGCAGAGCCTCAGCGCCGCGGAGGGGCGGTTTGCTGCTGAAGTCAGTGACGCGCACAGCATCCTGCCTATAGGATGTGAGGCTTTCTCAGTGCAGTTGTTTTTCTACCCACTTTAAACCTTCAGGTTCTACACATCAGGAAAGATAGGAAATGCCGTATGAAAATAGGCGGCCAAAAGTTGCTAGTAAACTGCAGCCAGGGAGACTCAGACTAGAGTGGAGGTAGAAAGAGTTGCTACAGAGTGGGTTTAGTTCTGGCTGACTTTTTGTTGCTAACTTACTGAATTTAGACATGTGTTACATTGGTCATGCAAGGACCAGAGCAGCACCAGCATCAGAATAGTGCCGGCCGTTCTGAATGCCATGGTGTATATGTACTCAGAGTATTTTTGTCAAAGAAGATAAAGAGCCCAGCATAGATTTTATCCTCATCTTCACCCAACTACAAAATCAAAGTTAAGCAACAGCATCTAAGAGCCCTTTTCAGGGGGGCAAGAACCTAGAGGATGGCTCTGAATGATTGTTTGCTTTTGAACTTGGAAGTGGACCACTTCTTGCACTGCAACATCTCCAATCACAGTGCAGATCTCCCCACCAACGACGACTGGTTCCACCCAGGGATCTTCTATGTCATCCCTGCCATCTATGGGGTCATCATTCTGATAGGCCTCGTCGGCAACATCACCCTGATCAAGATCTTCTGTACGGTGAAGGCCATGCGAAATGTGCCCAACCTGTTCATCTCCAGTCTGGCCTTGGGAGACCTGCTCCTCCTGGTAACGTGCGCTCCGGTGGATGCCAGCAGGTACCTGGCCGACAGATGGCTGTTTGGCAGAATTGGCTGCAAACTGATCCCCTTTATACAGCTCACCTCGGTGGGGGTGTCTGTCTTCACACTCACGGCTCTCTCGGCGGACAGGTGAGTTCTGGAGGAAAGTCACCTTCTCTCTGAGGGTGGCAGGTGCCTTGGGAAATGAGCCACCAGCTTGGGGCAGGCAGAGCTGTTTGCACAAAGGGAAGTTTTAGTCAAACTCAGATTCCCTTCCAGGCACGTTGTTCTTCTGGGGATTACTTTTTGAATTGGACATTATCGGTTTAAGAAAGAAAAGTGAGGGGCTCTTGGGACGAAAGGGGAGAAATGAGAAACAAAAAAATCTCTGAGCATAAGATTGACATGTATTTTCTGGAGACAAATCGGTTTAGCGTTGCTTTTTCCTAATTCTCCCTCCCTGCAAAATTAATTGACTGGTGAGGAAAAAAAAAAAAATCACACCTAAGAGAGTTTACACCCCAGGCAAATGTTTCTTCGAAACAATTCAAAAGCTTCAGAGAACAGAAAAGTCCCACTGAATTTCTTCCTCAAAATATTCCTTCAGAAATAAACAAGAGGAGACAATAAGCAGCATTTCTTTGAAATTTATTTTCCTTAGACCATTTACCTTTTCTCACAGCTGATTTTGTATTGGGCTCTCTGTAACCAGAGAGCTGGTTTTTCTAAGTGTCCCTTCAGTGAAATCAAGCATTATTTGGATTTTTTTTCCCTTGAGAAAGTTCAAGTTTGATTTTGAATTTTAATCTTTTTGATGTACTTCCACATACAGTGCCTTTGGGTTTTTTTGTTTGGTTGGGTTTTTTTGGTGGGGAGTCCAACGTTTCGTTCTGGGCAACACTCACATTTGTGAACTGCATTTCTTGTGTGAACATGTTGCTTAAAAATTCACCTTTATTCACTCTTAAAGATTCATATTAATTCCTTCAACATTTACCAAGCATCTATTATGTTAAAAAACACTTGCTTGAATTAACCCGTCGGGAAATATCCGCAGGCTGTTCACACACATTGCTGCCTAGATCTAGCATGCTTCTGAGCTCTAGAAAGTGGACACAGTAATGAATAGACTCCCGAAACATCATGGAGCATATGGTCAAATTAAGAAAAAACTGGAACAATGAACCAGAGACTCTAAGTTTTCATTTTAAAATCCACTGTATGTTATGCTGTTAAAGACACATGAGGATCTGAGCGTGTACCAGGAAAGGCATAGAAGCAGCTCTTGAAAGTTTATACTCTGAAGAAAATGTCCCACATTTTAATACACGTGGTAGTGGGTTTTCATTTTATAGAGGAACAAACAGTCCCCAGGTGATCTGGCTTTGTCGAGTAATGGACGAATAAAGACAGTGTTACCAGTATTTGTAGACATGTCTTTATACTTAGCTGCCTGAAGTACACTGTTCATTTTCAAAGATGGAAAAGTAATAGCCCGGAGGCAAGGTCTGCACACCGTACCAGCCGGAGGGGCTTTCTCCACTCTCGCCGCTCGCCCCCAGCTTGCTCTCACCTGAACAGCGGCCCCGCAGGTGCTGGTGGCCATGGGCAGTCTCGCGTGTTGGCAGGAGGTCTGTGGCTCATTACACAGATGCCGAGGTCATCTCAGGATGGAGGCGAATTTTCCCGATGGGAAGATGAGATTTTGGACCCCGGGCTGCTGGGTGCAGTGGTGTAGAGGGTGTTTGCCATTTTCTTGGGGTGGGGTGGGGGGACAGAGAGGAAAGCGAGGGTGTGGGATGTGAAGATGTAGCTGCAGGGGGCTCTTTCCAGAGTTTCAGAGCAGACCGAATTCCCCATCAGCAGAAAGGCTCTTTCCACAGCCAGGTTGCAGCCTTTGGCAGCTCCGGTGTGTTCTCAGCAAGTTTATAGTTACTGTGTGTTCTTCCCCTACTATAAGCTGCCCTATAACGAACTTTCTGTGCTTTGGTGAGGCTTCAAAAAGCTGATGGATCACCTGAATCACAGGTCGTGAGTGCATCTAACCGATTTCGACAAGAATAAGTATTGAGCTAGTTAAATAACACAAAACTACACTTATCTATTTATCTCATTTTGAAAAGCTATTGGGGTCTTATAATAACCTCATGAGGACGGCAGGGCAAATACACACACCCATACCCTCTCTGGTTTTTCTCAACAAGGTACGATCTGTATACAGTAAAGTGAACAAGTGTATAGCTCAATGGATTTTTACTTATGTCTTCATAACGTAAGTAAACCACCCAGATGTAGATATAGAATAGTTCCGGCACCCCAGGAGTTTTCTTTTATGCCTAGTTCCAGTTAATACCCACCCCCAGACAGGAGCAATCACTATTCTGAGTTCAGTTAACATAGATTATTTTTGCCAGTTGTTTAATCTCGTATAAAGGGCATCATACTTCTTATGCCTGTCATGTCTGTGACAGTCATCTATGTTCTTTTTAATTCTTGTGTAGTATTCCACTGTATGAATATACCCTGTTTATCTATCCATTCTAATACTGATGGACATTGGGTTGTTTCCAGTTTGGGGTTCATAATAACCTACTCTGGATAAGCTTATTTGTGCCTTTTGGGGAACATATGTGTTTATTTCTCTTGGGTTTAAGCCTGGGAATGGAATCGCCAGATCACAGGGGACACATATTTAGTAAATATCGTCGAAGAGTTTTCTAAAGCGCTAAGTCTGTATTTGACAGGGTGGTAAAAGGATGAACCAGAAGACCCTCCAAACTGGATGATCATCACAAATCAATGGGGAACTCAAAACCAATACAGCTTCTTAGTCCCTACCCTAAATCTACTGCATCAGGGTTTCTGAGGTGGGAACAGCATAGTGATAGTCATCCATCCCTGCCCCTTGTAGGTTCACCAGCAATGCCGGTACTCATCCCCATCTCCCTTCTGCAGCCCTCCCTTCCCCCAGGCGAACTTGAGTCTTTTTTAATATGAAGGGGATAACAGTTTTCTGGAAAAGTTTACACTCTTGCCACTGTGTCAGAGGGAGACTTCAAGGCAGTCCCAGAAACCAGAATTCTGGGTTTCACACAGCTGGTCAATTGCAGATTTGCATTCAAGCCCCTTCGCTTTTGGTCCCTGCCCTCCCCCTCCTTCCATGCCTTTTTCCCCTTACACACGCGCCGATGTCCTCATACCTGGTGGAACACTGATGAGTTCCTGGCTCTGCTCCCTTGCTTATGCTGTGTCCTGCCCACTCTCCAGACACTTTCTCCTTTCCTGCATAGAAGACACTACTCCCCATGTGATGTACGGGCTTGGAGTGGGCATCAACGGTCCTGCCTTTTAGGCTTTTTGCTGCCATTACTGCCCAAGTCACTTAACTCTCTGACCTTAGTTGAATCATCTGTAAAGTAATAGAGTTGAGCTAGATTATTTCTAAGGTCCCTCCAAATTTTTTATCTGTCATCTTGCCTATCATTCGGAATATGGTTCAAGCTTCCTCCTTAAAACCCTAAGTTGGACCATTCTAGCCCCAAGGTCCTAACCCTCCCCTAAACATAAAGCTTATTATCTCAGACATGAATTATCTTGTGACTTCTTTCATTTTGCTCTTTTGAAGTATTTTACTCATTTGTCTTTTTTTAGCCTCTCGTATATTCATTGCGTTAACTTTTCAAGTAGATTATTAAGCATGCTGAGGGCAGGGGCGCCTGGGTGGCTCAGTCGGTTAAGCTTCTGCGTTCGGCTCAGGTCATGATCCCAGGGTCCTGGGATCGAGCCCCGCACTGGGCTCCCTGCTCAGCGGGAAGCCTGCTCCTCCCTCTCCCTCTGCTTATGTGCACACTTGCGCTCTCTCACTGTCAAATAAATAAAAACGGCCATACCACCCTGAACGCGCCCGATCTTGTCTGATCTCGGAAGCTAAGCAGGGTCTGGCCTGGTTAGTACTTGGATGGGAAAATCTTTAAAAGAAAAAAAAGAATGCTGAGGGCAGAGATTTCTTATATATTCTTCTATCTTCCACACTGCCTCACATGGTTCCTTGGCACCAAACGGGTGATGAATAAACAGTGATTAATTAAAATTATGGTTAATTAATACACACTTTTCTTCTCATTCTTCTTTTCCTTTTTTGGAATTCATCTGAAAGCATACTCTTTAAAATGTTTCATACAGTTACTGACTTCTTATCTCTTCCTCTCTATGAAGCTCTCACTGAGTAAATGTGAGAAAAACCTTTCTTTCTGAGTCTATGAATAGATTCGGGGGATGAAGATGGGTGCATGGATGGACAAATGAAAAGATAGGTGGGTGGATGAGTGGATGGGCAGATGGATGGATGGATGGATATATTTTTTACAGACTGGTCTTTCCTACTAGATGCCCATTTCTGTACTAGGTCCTCAGCATTATGTAAATGGAGTTTAAGACCAAAATTAGGCCCTCAATAGGAGAAGGGTAAGGAGAGTTTATGTTTTCCAGTAAGTGTGACGTTTAAAGCTAGATGTTATCTTGACAGCATATAATACCCAAGTTATATTGTGCCTCCTTCAGTATTATTATTCAGTGCTATTTCTGCTAGAATGGATGGCAGAATGAATCCCAAAGGTAGATATATAGAGGAGTTCCACTGTAATTGTGATCCTTGATTCCATGGAAAAGACTGTTCATACATTTTCCCCTCCCTTGTGATTTGGAATGTGTAAAGAAAACAGGAAAGAATTGCATTTAGGCAAACTTCTTGAAGTACAGATTCTTTGAATTCATTGCAAGGAGGTTTTTTTTTTTTTCACATTAACATTCTTAGTTTCTTGATCCTCTCATGAAAAATCTGCACAACCTCCACAGATAAAGCCACTGCAGCATCTTTACTCCTCCTGTTGTCCAATCTCCAGCTCACTTTTTGCCAGCACCAACATTGGCTTTTGCAGTCCCCCTGACTTTCTTCATTCTGTTTTTGCTTTCCTTTCACTATTTTCTTGATGTCTTTTTCTTCTCATACAGGCCATGTCTTGCAAGTCTGTGTTTGGGTTCATTTTTCTTTGCATAATCCAAGGAATCATATATCATGCCAAAGCCGGTTGTCTTGCCACCACCAAAATGGGTTCTGAATCCAAACACAAATATGACATCTGGTGTGCTCT